CACATCCCCGCCCCTGACTTACTTCTCAGGCAATCCTCCCCATCTCAAATTAAGAAGCCTCTTTTCTTCTAGTTGTTTTGAGTAAACACCTTCACTCATCCTTGACTCCTCTTTCTTGCTTATGTCTTGTGTCTAATTAATCAGCAAGCCCTTCAGTCTCTCTTTGTGAACCTCTCCAGAACCCGACCACTTCTCACCAGCCCAACTGCTATGGCTTTTTATTAGTCAAGATTCTTCAGAGAAAGAGAACCAGTTGATAGATATCTCATATGAGGGATGTATAGTGCGAGGAATGGGCTTATGGAGGCTGAGAAGTCCCAAGGTTGGCAGTCAGCAGACTGGAGACCCAGAAGAGCTGATGGTATAGTTCCAGGCTGAACACAAGTCTGAAGGCAGGAGAAGACCTAGGTTCCATTTTAAAGACAAGCAGAGAGATATTCATTTCTCCCTTGCTCTGCCTTTTTGTTCTATTCAGACCTTTAGTGGACTGGATGAACGTTATCACCACTGGGGAAGAAATTTCCTCTGCTTAGCTACCAACTCAGATATTAATCTCATCCAGAAACCCCCTCACAGACACACCCTAAATAATAATTAGCCAAATATTGGTACTTGGCCTAGCCGATGGTATGGTGGTTAAGGTGACTGGATCCCATATGGCCAGTTGTTCAAGTCCCGGCAGCATGAAAAACGTTGCTGGGTGTGTGTGTACGTGCCCAAACTCCTGAGAAGAAAATGGAGGAGAAGGGACTGCTGTATGGCCATCCTCCCAGGGGAGTGCTTTCCCTCTCTCTCTCTCTCTCCAGTGAGTATAGGCACCCTACAGCAGAAAACTAAGCAAAACAAAACAGATGTCTGGTACTTAATGGCTCACTCAAGTTGACATATAAAACTAACCATCACAGCTTCTAAAACTTGTTGACCTGCTTCCATCATTGCTCCTTAATATGTCTTTAATATAAGAATGGATTAAATATAAAGGCCATATCATATCATGACTCTGGAAAAGTCTTTAGTGTCTTCCTGTCTCTCTCAATCTCTTTTAAAACTTTTTTTTTTTTTATTAAGAGAGACTTTTTCTATAGGGTGCATGCACTCACTGTAGATACAGAGAGACAGAAAGAGAGAAAGTGAGAAACTATCCCCCAAGGGGGAAGGCCACGCTTCAATCCTTTCTCCTCCTGGGATTTTGGGCATGCGTGCACACATACCTGGTGTTAGTTTCAAACTGGCAGGTCTGAGACTTGAATCATGGTCAACCAATGGGAATCCAGCACCACAACTACTGTGCCACCTGCTTCCCTCAGTGTCTTCCTATCTCAAAGTAACATTTGCAGACTATCAAGGCTGCCATGCTCTGTCCCCACCCTTGCCCCATCACCTCTCACTCTTCCCCTGCTCTTGGTGTTCGGCCCACACTGATGTTTCTTCAAGAAACAAAGCATGTTCCTGCCTCATTTTTGCACAGAAATGCACGTCATGACTTTTCCAACTACCCAATACATGGCATATTCAACACTGTATTACAAAGTAGGCTTGGGGTTAGATGGTTGTGCCCAACTACAGACTAAAACAAGTGTTCAAAGTATATTTAAGGTAGGTTAGGCTAAGCTATAATGTTCAGGATGTTAAGTGTCTTAAATGCATTTTTTTGAGGCTTTTTTTGAGGGGGCGGAGAGGCTATAGGGTGTGTGTGCTCACCAGAGAAACAGTGAGAGAAGGAGAGAGAGAAAGTGAAAAATCCCTGCAGATCCCTAGGCTGAAAATAGTCTTCATCCAGATATCAACATTATTTCCTCCTCAGCAGTCTGCTTATGGTAGAGATTTTGGCAATAAACCTATTTTTAAATAATACAGTAGCCTCATCTTTCTGATTTTATTTTCTTTGTATTTTAGGATAATTTTAGATTACAGAAACATTGCAAAGAGAAGCAGAGAGTTCCCATAAGCTCCATCCTAGTTTCTCCTCGTGTTGCCTTCTTACATTAGAATGGTACATTCATCACCACTAATACAATTTAATATTTTATTACTAATGAAAATCCATGCCTTATTCAGATTTCCTTTTTGTCTAGTGTTCTTTTTCTGTTCCAGGATTCCATCCAGTACATCACATCATGTTGTCTCCTCTTTAGGGTTCCTTAGGCCGTGGGAGCTTTCCAGACTTTCCTCATTTTCTATGGCCTTGACAGCTTTGAGGAATACAGATGGTCCTTGGTTTACAACGCTTTGACTCAGGAGTCCTTGACTTGACAATAGAGTGAAAGCCTCACTCATTCATCAGAAACCATACTATCATTCTATTTTTCACATTCAGCACAGTATTTAATGAATTACTGGGTTGTCAGAAAAGCTATGGCTCATTTTTGCATAGAAACACACCTCATGACATTTCCAACTACCCAACACATGGCATATTCAACATTATATTACGAAGTAGACTTAGGGTTAGATGGTTGTGCCCAACTACAGACTAATATAAGTGTTCAAAGCATATTTAAGGAAGGTTAGGCTAAGCTATAATGTTCAGGAGGTTAAGTGTCTTAAATGCATTTTTTGAGGCTTTTTTTTTTTTTTTTGGCTTTAGGGTGTATGTGCTCACCAGAGAGACAGAAAGAGAAGGAGAGAGAGAAAGTGAAAAAATTACACTCAGGGGAGATGGTCATACCACAATTCCATCCCTTCCATTTTCCTCTTGGGATTTCGGGCATGCACACACATGTATGTGCCTGGTGTGAGTCTGAAGACACTGGGTCCAGGACTTGAACCATAGTTGGTAGTGGTGTGAGAATCCAGCACCTCAACCACTACACCATGTGCTGGTCCCTTTAACTTACAATATTTTTAACTTACTCTTCATCAGAAACCATACTATCATTCTTACAGTAAACACTTACAGTATTTTTAACTCCTTTTTAACTTACTGTATTTTCAATTTACAATGGGTTTTCTGGCATGTAACTTCGCTGTAAGTTTAGGAACATCTGTAGTGGCCACGTATTTTGTAGGATATCCTGCTATTGGAATTCGTTTGATATTTTTCTCACGAGAAGACTGGGATATGGGGTTTGGAGAGGAAAACTCAGTAGTAAAATGTCATTTCCATCATATCATATCAAGGATTCGTATCATCAACATGATTTATGTTGATGCTGACCTGGGTTCATGGCTGAGGGGGTATGTGTTAGGCTTCTCCATTGTAAAGTGACTCTTTTCCTCTTTTCCATACTGTTCTTTTTCACAGGAAGTCACTATGCCCAGCCAGCCCACGCTTACAGAGTGGAGAGTTTGAGGATGAACCATCTACATAAACTATACGTAATTCTGCGTTGGCAGATTCCGCCATTTATTTCTTCAGCCCCTTTTTATATGACCCATGGGTATTTTTTCAATAGTGTAGGTTGTTTTTCAAAGTAGTATAGGTTGTAATCTCACACTACTTTATTCGCTGGGTGGCTCCAACTATTCCAATTTTGGACATACGGAGCTCTTTCAGTTGCCTCTTGTTTCTTTGACATTCCCTCAACAATGCAGGGTGATTGGCCCCCTGCCCCTGCTTTTTACATGTGTATGCTGCTTTATTTATTTATTTTCTTTATTCATGACAGAACATATACACATGCAAGAGTGAGAGAGAGAGAGAGAGACCCTCTACAGGGTATGGTCATGTCCCCTCCTCCAGTCCTCCTGCCCATCAGATCCTAGGCCCTTGGCTGGAGTACCTGCAAGTGGCAGGAAGACTAGACCATGGTTGCCATGTGGGACCCAGCTTCTCTTGAGCAGCACATTATTGCTGGGCCAGACAGCAAGGCCTGTTGTTTAAAGACCAGTCCTGAGGCTTACATCAGCTTCCAGAGTAGCTGGGACTACAGGTGTCAGCCCCTGCCTGCTGGCTTTTCTGAGGGCAGGCAAGGACTCTGACCCAGGTCGCCCTTGAGGCCTTGCACCAGCAGCTAATGCGGGCTCCCCAACGGGGCTTTTTTGTTTTTTGTTTTGAGCACCGCTTACTTTTATGTTTCAGCCTCATTTTCTAAGTACTTCATGCTGCCTCTGTTTTTCTCCTCACTACGATGCCCATCCGAGGACAGGGTCTTGGCAGCGTTTTTGACCACGCTAGCTAGCATCCTCTGCACTCTTGCAGAGGCTCAGTTGACACTAAATGAAGGAATGAATCCGGCTGGTGCAGAGGCCGATTGGGGTTCTGGAGGGACTTAGCCTGGGTGTGACCCGCATTCTCCTGACTCTTGTTGCCTCACTGGTTCCCTCTTGACGCAGGGCTGGCCTCAGCCTCTCGCGCCCCCAGGCTCCCCGCCCTCGGCCCCTGCCACATTCAGAAACGGCTTCTGTGTCCTCGCCACGAAAACACACAGGACACAAAATGTCACCAGCGCTGCGGGGATTCCAGGGGAAAGTCCATCGCCTGCAGCCTGGCCCACCTCCTTGCCCAGTGGGCGAGAGGAAGGGGGGGCTAGGGGGAGAGAGGCTGGGCGGCAAACACCCTTCTCCCTTGGCGGGTTCGGGCTCCCCCACGGGCGCATCCGGGGGCGCACAGGACAGGCTGGAGCGCGGCGCGGTTGCTGGCAGTCAGCCGCTCGGACTCCTGGCGGGGAGGGAACCCGCGCTGGCCGCGGCCGCCGCGCACCACGCTGTCATTCCGGGGCGGGG